TTGATCGTGCACACTTACACTGACAGCTTTGCCATGTTTACGCGCACTTGGCGGTAAACCGAGCTTTCGGAAGTCGTCGGTAATAACATCGGTAATATTACGCGTCGGTAACATCGGTAATGTCAGTCACGTCAGCGCAGCGCCAATGCCGCGTTGCGACAGAAAAGTGAAAAGGACATTTCCCCCTCCACTGGCCTGTCGACCAAGACGACGACAAAGACGGTTCTTAATAATCTGCCCACATGCGTACTTTGCATTGCAATATCTCCACTCATGGGGCACGTAGGAGGAAAATAAAAACACTTTTATTATGCAAATCGTACCCAAGCTATCGATTAAGCGCAGTCTCAAGTTCGTCGGATCAGCCGTTGTTGAGATCCGAAAATCTGAGGGCCCGTCAACTCGTGTACTCGCGTAAACTTACACGGTGGTGTCGCGCGCGTGGTTAGACTTGTCGCTTATACTTAGTCGCTTATACTTGGCGCGAGACACTACCGTGTCTCGTGATATGTACGATTATACAGTAGAAGTTATACGATAGAAGAAACTACATACCTGCGTTTATTTATACTTTTCGAATGTTCGAAACGGTAGGTACTATATACTATGTATCTACAGAAACACACCCGAAACTTGAACACGTTATTAATACAATGCAGAGGCCCAAGGATCGGGCCTCGCGCGGGGTGATACAATGGGATGATGCAGCTACCAGGATAGAAAAACTCTCTCTCAATCTCGATCTCGATCTCTAGCATGTGCCGGCTCGTTCCACGCAACTGACGCAACACTCAAGGCCCAAACACAATGCCAGGCAACAGGCAACCGGAACAGGGAATAGAATTTCTGACGCGTTGGATTGGTTGGAAGAAATTTTCCGACGAATCCAACGTGTCAAAAATTCTATTCCCTATTCCTATTGCCTGCTGCCTGGCATTGTGTGATAGGCTTCACAATCAGTAGGGCCATCCGATAAAAACTTGAGAGACCCAGGGTCTGTTCTTTATTGCTGCACTCCTGAACCAGTGCACACTGGTGCAATGAGTTGGAATGAGAGGTAATAGATGATCGATTATACAAATCTTAACATCGAACAATCGATAAATCGAATCTAAAACCATCGAATAATTAATTAATTGACATTCAAAACATCGATAAAAATAATCGATTATTTATTAAAGAAACATCGAACTTCGATGCATCGAGGCAACATCGCCCATCTCTAGTACTAAGTAGCTATCTCTCGGATAGATACATTACATGTGAGGATCGAGATGGAGCACCCAGAAGATGGGAGGCGGAGTGCGGCGTCCCACAGGACTCGGTCTTAGGACCGATACTGTGGGACGTCGCATACGACAGAGTTCTGAGAACGGCCTTACCCCCCGGCAGCACCTTAGTGTGTTACGCTGACGACACGCTGCGCTGGTGCTGGACGGGGGGGAGGACTGGGAGGACGCAGCAGCCACGGCGAACATCGCTGTGGCATGCGCAGTGCGAGCTATAAACGCCCTGGGGTTGAGGGTCTCTGCCAAAAAAACGGAGGCCTGTTACATGCACGACGGGACACACGGGTCACCCCCGGAAATGCATATAATGGTGAATGACACTCGAGTCAAGGTAGGGGCCCAGATCAAATATCTGGGTCTCCACATAGATGAAACCTGGAGATTTGAGCAGCATCTCCAGAAACTGGGTCCCAGATTAGACGCAGCGGCAAACTCTCTCTCGAGGGTAATGCCGAATTTAGGTGGGCTGTGCGGGAGAACGAGGAAGCTCTACGCGAATGTAGTCAACCCTATCGCTCTATACGGTGCCCCCATATGGGCGTCTGCCTTAATAGATAATAGCAAAGCCACCTCGGTACTGAGGAAAACTCAGCGCCGGATGGCGATTAGGGCGATAAGGGGGTACCGCACGGTCTCCCGTGCGGCTGCCACCTTACTAGCGGGCATGCCCCCAATAGAGCTCCTGGCGGGCTCTTACGCAATGGCGTACGAGAGAGTTGCGACCCTCAAGGCAGAGGTAGTCCAGGTTACGGACAGGGCAAGGAGGATGATAAACCTACAGATCAAGAGAGCGGTGAGGGAGGAGTGGCGATTGTGGTTGGAGGAACCGACCTGTGCGGGCCAGCGCACGGTCGGAGCCAGCCTCCCTCACCTAGAGGGATGGCTTGACCGTCCCTGCGCCAGAGCGTCCTTTAGGACGTCGCAGGTACTCCCCCCGCGCTTGCGTACGGGTGCCGCTATCGAATAGCCCCGGGGTAGCCCCTGCCTGTCGTAAGAGGCGACTTAAAGGGGAGGAGAAGAAGAGGAAAGCGGGGGGGGGGGGGAAGCGCGAAGGCCCGCCAGACCAACGGCGGGCCGGGTGCGGGGGGCGGTGCGGATATAATGACTCTGTCAATTCCCGGCCGCCCCCCCAAGTAAAGCACCGCGCAGACCACCGTAGGGTTTTAGTGGGTAAGCCAACGCGCCGAATATTAGCAGGCGCGCACCTCGCTAGATAGAGGGGCAGTCCCACATAACCCGGGCCATTAGTAAACTCCCTTCCCAGAGGGGGGCCCGGGTATCCATAAAGGATTTCCCTACGTAAAAAAAATAAAAAGGACGTCACAGGTACTCACCGGACATGGTTGTTTCGGTGAGTACCTGCACAGGATAGGCCGCGAATTAACGCCGCAATGCCACCATTGCGAGGTAGAGACGAGGGACACGGCACAGCACACCCTGGACAGCTGCTCGGCATGGGATGCCCAACGCCGTGTCCTCTCGGACTGCATAGGAGTGGACCTCTCGCTCCCGGCGGTGGTTGAGGCCATCATGGAGCGGGAGGATGCTTGGGAGGCTTTCTCCTCCTTCTGCGAGCATGTTATGCTGCAGAAGGAGGAGGCTGAGCGTGTGAGAAGGGGGGAGGCGGACCCCCCCAACACGCAAGGTGGAAACGGGGGTGCGCGGAGGAGGAGAAGAGCGCGTCGCCCCCCAGCACATTTAAGAGCATGGTAACCCGAGGGGGGCGGTAGACCGCAAAAGTTAGCTGTCTCGTGCCTTTCCCGGGTTGACAAGGAGTAACTACCAGTACCTGGTCAGATGCCAACCATCAGGTACAAGGGGATGGATCCCCCCCCTTAAGGCGTCCGGGACCCGCCAACGAATAGGCCCGAGGTATCACCTGCCTGTAAGAGGCGACTAAAAGGTGCACAGCCAGGGAGAAGTTATGGGAGGGGATTCCTGGGGGTGGGCGCGGGCTGGAGACCCGCGACTCACCCGCCCCCACAAACACCTAGGGAGTGCGGCGGGAGGCCTGGTGGCACCCCCGCCGCACAGTGGTCCCAAATCCCCAAAAGCTGGCCAAAAGTCGAAAAAAAATATTTTTTCTAGGGACTTTTAATGGTTGGAATAGTAGTAGTGGTACACCTAGTATGTATTATAACCGTTAAAAAAGGGGAAGCGTCCTTATCTGGCTTAGGAACGCATTCCGTTCGTGAGCGTGGGGCCTGCCGCATTATTCACTCGTCGCGCGTCGAAAATAACACAGAGTTCAGACGCGTGTAGAATCGCGAAAAGTTAACGGATTTGGATTCTGCAAAATGGATTCTTCTCCAGAAAGTAAGTACAATTTGAATGTGTTACTCGAAATTACTATTAACAATGTATGAAATAGTAAGTCATTAAC